GAGTGGCTTTCTGCAGCGAATGGATCTGGCCCGCAAATATGCCTTTGGGAAGATGTTGATCATTGGTTCTGAGCCCCCATTCAAGGTGAAGGGATTGTGGCTTTTCCGCGGTAAAGAAATTCCTCAGTTTGTTCTTGACGAGTGTTATGACATGGAGCTCTATGAGTGGACCAAGGTCGATCTCAATGATGAAGCTCAGAAGGAACGTGTCAGCCAGATGATTGAAGATGCAGAGCCTTTCGAGGGCGAGGCTCTGCTAGATGCCAAGTGCTTCAAATGAAGATACATTAACCATGTTCCTGCACATTCGTGTAGTTTGAGGTTGTAGCCTACCTTATTTTTGTCATCCGGAATTCTAGTTCTTACCCCTGATCCAATACAAAGTTGGTCAGAATTGTCTTTTTGTTATTGCATTGTGTTTTATAACTTAGATTTTGGTTCCATGTCATTGTGTTCTGGACCTCTGGTGTATTTAAATTCGAAAGGAAACATTTGGTTATATCCGTGGGATCTGAATTGTTGCAATTATGAATAAGCCTAGATGTTCAATAATGTCAATGACTAGATAAAACTCTTCGATTATTTCGTCTTACAAGCATTTTGGTAGCTTGCAGTGCTTCGAGCACACCTATACCCGAAGGTTTTGAAAAAGGTTCGAGGAGAAAATAAACTAAAATTATCTTGATAATTAGAACAAACACAAGGTTAAGTAATTCAGTTTCATAGCATTTCGGTAGAGGTCACGAGAATCCGAAATGACTTGAACAAAAAATGAGTCTCTAAACCAGATGTCTCGGGGAAATGACATTTCAAATGTCTCAATAGTCACAAAAACTGGATTAGACCCAAGGCTTGAAAGTTACATTAGGCATTTTGATTTGAAAACGAGTAAAATGGAAAAATTGTACTGCACTATCCGGTACTCCAGAAATTCACTCCGACCAACTGAACCTTCTCGAACCCTTTCTGCTAATTGTACGGAATCTGAATATATGCAGCGTCGCACAAAAATGGGACATCAGCATACATCCCAGCCAGGGCACACCTTATGCACTCCAAAACAGTGAATAAATAGGCAAATGCAGTAGCAACCCAAAAATGCATTCCAATCTTCCCCCAATATAAAGCTAGTGGCATCCAACTATTTACAGTTCCAATGACCTGCATAGCAATCTCCAGTAACATGCCCATAACCACATGGAATCTAAAGAAATGAGGCCATTCCTTTCTTCTCACTATAGCAGTAAAAGCTATAAGGAAGTAAGCCATCGTAAACCATGTTGGCAACCGAAAGAAACTTTGCCAAAATGGGACGGTCAAAAGTTCGAAATACTCTAAGAAAGGGTGCAGATTGTATGCTGTTTCTGCATGTATCACTGTAAAGTGTAGAGGCATTAGGTATGGGAGGCATGATAAAATTCTCCACCACCATCTTGGTTTCTTGGTCGTTTGAGGGTATCGGAAGCTATAAGGAATATCATCCCTAGTTGCTCGTGGAGAGAGAAGAAACCTCGGATGCTTGGATAATTTGGGTATGGCATGTGATGAGAGACCTTTTTCCTGATTAAAGGGAGACGTTGATGTAGTAGAAAGACGGTAACGCTTGGTTTCTGCAATAACAATTTGGAAAACGCCACGAGTTTAACATGGTTTAGAGAATCTGTCAAACAATTAAATGAACACTCAAAAAGTTACAACAAGAAAGAAGGCAAGATCAAAATGAAGGGATAATCTCTATTGGAGGCATATCCTTGTTTGACAAATCTGACCAATACAGAGCCATCTCAGTCAAATCTCAATATTTTTCCAGCATTTAGCTTGGCTTAAAACTAAACTATATTCAGGTATATGCAACATAAAAGGATTTGACATCAGTTTCAAGAATGAACAGGCTAACTCAAAAAGTAGGTGATGGTTGTGAAGTTTTCTACATCCTCAAAATGTTTCTGCTAAATGCAGTCTGAGACTCAAATCTATGTTCAGGTTATATGGGAAAAAGAAGAAGCATTAGGCATAAATGAACATGATGATCAACTACACTCATGGGGAACTACCCATCATAGAGATGCTCACAAAGAAAACAACGAAAAATTAGGCCTTCTTCACACAATTTGGGTCGGCTATATCAATCCTCTTTTGCCACTTCGTTTGATTCAAATGATACATCTATTGAAAGATTTCAAGGCAACACGATTATAGCAACTACGTGGTAGTTTTTGTCTGCCCTTCTCTCGTCTAAGGTGTTCTATCAGTAGCCTCTTTGAGCATATACAAAATATATCCCGACGGCAACCATTTCCTTAATTCATTCTAAGCCGGCACACCTCTATTCGTTATGCATATTCTCACGCACATTTCGTCGCATATCCCTTTTCTCTCCTAATTTTTCATTCGGTCAAAGACATCACGACTTGGAAAAACAAGCACACCTTTTAGAAACAGCCAGTTTTTCTCCATATGGAAGTAACATTACAAGTGCAGAATCCAATTTTAGTTAACAAAAAGAACAAAACATTTCAGAAAACTAAATGAACAACGTAAACAAATCCAAGAAGCAATTCTACAAATAAAATAAGTTGGATTGAATTGAATTGAAGCGCACATACCTAATAATGAACAGACTTTTATATTCTGAAGAGGTTTCCATGAACTTGTATTGCATGAGTACTGACGAATGCCAAAAGCTGAAGACTTGTAGTTATAAGACTTAGGAATTGCACCAGAATATGGCGCAGAACATCCTTTTAGAATCATAATGTGGCACAGACTTCAAACTTCTACATAGGAAAATAAAAAAAATGAATTTCGAGTTACCTAAAAACTAAAACAATATGTACTATATGAATCTCGAACACTCCTATTCGAGGTGGGTGTCTGTGTCCATGTCCAACACGAATACTTGTGTTGGATTACTGTTTTACATAAATTATATTAATTTTTCTTTCTAGCAATGCATACTGTTTCGCGCGTGTTCGCTCACTAACAATTAAAAGGGGATCAGACGATTGTGTAAGGGACAAACCTTTTGGAACAAAATCCCAAAAAGGGGT